TGTTCCACACACGATGGACACACCGTGCCCATGATGTTCCACCCTGCCCTGCCCCTCACGCTGCCCTCAAACCACCTCCTTTCCTCACTGTTCACTCAGACACTTCCCACTCAGCTCTCCTGAAATACACTGCCCAAAATTCCCTTTATTTTTCTCGGTTGTGGGATCATTTTCCAGTCACTGTGTTCAATTTGGTTTTTATGTTTTATGTTCCTTTTACACCATTTTAATAAACTTCCACAAACACAAGGTAAAAGAAGACAAAAACAGTGAGCTGCAGATAAGAAAAGCTACTGAGAGATAAAACATACTTTTAAAGCACTCAAATCTGTATCCGTCCTGAAAAAAAATTGTTAGTCACTGAAATTTTTATCATGACAGTGCTCTACAGCTGAAATTTTAACGTGCAAAGCAGTGATGRAATTCTCATCTTTTCTCGCTTGAAATAGTAATTTATAAGAACAGATTGAGATATCCTCTGCCAGGCAGGAGGCACCCATTTAACCTGGTTTGTGCACTGAGGATGGAAATGCAGCAGGGCTGAGCCAGGCTGTGCTCTGCACGCTCTGCCAGCCCAGCACGAGGGCAAACAGCACACACAGAAAGGGAATCCATCCCAAAATCAGCTCTGACAGGAATTCTGTGAGTGAACACAGCCAGACATGATGGATATTCCAGCTGTGAACAGTACCTGGAACGGGATGGTGCTTTACCTGTAACGGGCAATGCAAAGATGGACTTTCCCAGAATATCTCTGCTTTGAGGTATTGGAATTCTGATCATTATCCATCTGCAAAGAGCGGAAAAGAGAAGGAGATTTCAAAAGAGGGTGTAGGAACAGTTCTGCTGACAGGTGACATAAATCAGTGAACACACAAGAGCAAGGGAAAAGAAATCAAATTCTAGCATGAAACACAACTGGCTAATTTCACTGATAGCAGCAGATTCCAGGGGCTGATTTAGAACTGGCACAAATGCCAACTTCCAAACACTTGGAAACAATGAATATCACACAAAATATCCCCCTGCCAACCCAACCCAACCAACAAAATCCAACCAAATCCAACCCAATCCAATCCAACCCAACCCAACCCAACCCAACCAAATCCAACCAAATCCAACCCAACCCAATCCAATCTAATCCAACCAAATCCAACCCAACCCAATCCAGCATCAGCAGCTGCTGAACTCCACCCTTTCCACTAACACAGGACCAACAATGGTTATTCTTGAACAACCACTTTTGAATAGGAACAACCAGGGCAGTTGCAAATTCATTTTTTGCAGAGTGTCACTAATTTATTTATTTATTTATTTCAGCCTTCCCAGCATTATGCTCCATTTTCAGATTTTATTCACACGATCCCCCTTGGGTCTGGATATCTCTAAAAAGGAATGGAGCTTAATTTCTGTGAGCTTGCATAATGTAAGTGTGTATCACATAATTACACTCTAGAAGGCACAAAACGTACAATTCTGCAAAGGAGGGCCTGACATTCTCAGTGAGAGATAACTCAGAAATAATAGAAAGAGGGAATTAAATTTGACGTGTGCTTCTTCTGTTCCTTGCTGTTAGTTCTGCTTCCCTAAGTCTCCGTGCTAAGCTGCTTTTTCTGTGGCCTCTTCAAAARGCACTGAATGTTTCCACTTTTCAGTAATGCTGCTACACAAATATACACAAATATTTCTGCTGGATAATCCCAGATATGCCCATGGAATTCCCACTATACAAGAACTTAATATTTTGTTGAATATCCTCAGGCTTGTGATCCATTTAGAAACATTTTGATTCCATCAACTTTCACAGGTTCAGTTGCAATGAATGTTAAATACAGAAAATATGCACAGAGGTGCAATTTATTTACTCCTGTAAAGATTAAGAAAGGATTTCTTAAAGGAGGAGGTAAAGATCTTTTTGATCTGTAGATCATCTCCTCGTGGCTATCTGTCCTTATAAACCAGGCAGTTTAAGAGAAAATAATTCTCTTCATCAAAACTTTCAAAATTTGTTCTGTGCCTTTGTACATTTAACATTTGTCCAAATATTAAAGATCAACTTATTTTGGCACCTTTGAAAAGCTCTTCTGAGCTTCCCCATGGATTTCCACCTGAATTCCACTGAAAAGCAGAAAAGAAGCGAAAGGAGGAACGGAACCTTTGGAAAGTGTGATTAAAAACAAGAAGTGGAGCTGAATGACCTTATTGACACTTTCAGCTCGGTGTTCCAGGCTCAGAACCCTTCAGGTGAGCACTGGGGGCTGTTAGAGGGGGTGCCTGCCCTGCTGAAGGGGGATTCAACATCACAAAAACCACACAAACACCAGCCCTGTAAAATGTCCCTGCTTTGCTGTCCAGCATCAGGCACTGCCAGGGATTGCTGCTCCTTGTGCCCAAATGTCCCCTTTGGGAGGCAGAGGAAGCCCTGRGGAGCTGCCAGGACAGCCCCACCCCACAGAAATGTGGGTTTGCCCCTCAGGCAGAGGCACCAGAGAGCTCTGAAAGCACCACAGGGCTCAGAGGCTGCAGCTCCTCACACCCCCAAATCTCACCCTGTGTGACAAGGACATCAATGCAGCTTCTGTGAAAATATCACCTGAATTCTCACCAATCAGCTTCTCAAATTTCCTCAGAAAACGAGAACATTCATGTTTGACTTTTTAGAAGCACGTGGATCAACCTGCCTCAGCCCACTGGAGCAGAGAAGCCTCTGCCCTAAAACACATTTTCAGTAAAAAATGCAAAAAGACTCACGTCTGAATCAAATCTGCATCTTGGGGTACCAGATCTTGACTTGGACAGGAATGTAGGTTTGACAGACAGTTGTTCTGGTTTGTCTCCAGAGATTTGAAGGGGTCGGATGAACTCTGAAATCACACAGCGACTTCCAGAGGGGCTTTCGTGACCTGGCAGGGACAAAACACCAGAATCAGGAAKGGTTCTGCAGCAGGAACACTGCCAGCACACAGCAGAGATGGGTTCCTCCCCTGTWCAAAATCAGTCAGGAAGGAGACATGGGGCAGACTGCAGAGCAGAAATCAGCTCAGCTGCCAGCTCCCAGCCTGGTAAAATGCCTAAACCAAAAATACAGAGCAAAAGACAGCAGGGAAGGGGAAGGGGTCTCAATTCACAGAATTCCAAGGTGAAGCTTCCCCCGAAGCTGCTGCTCCAGCCTTGGTTTCTTTGGGGGCTCTGTCACACCCTGGGAGGAGAATCAAATTCATYCATTTGTCTCCTAACGAAGAGACTGAATGCTAATGACTCAGTTGGCAGGAGTTCATTTGGAAATGAAGTTGTTGGACTTTTGGCAGCAGAAGTGCCACGAGCACCTGCTYCGTGTTCCTTGAGAGCTCCTCAGTGACACCAGCACTGTGATCTGGTCCCAGTGCCATCCCTGGGGGTTCTGGAACATGGAAACTGAGACTGAGCAACAGGAAAAACCTCCAAAAATCCTTCTGGAACAGATTTTTATTGTGCTTTTAAAAAGCAGTTTAAAAGAAAGGAAAAGGCAGATGATGCTGAACAGTGAACATCCTGAGCAGGCTGAGCACTCATCTCCTCCCGACTCGGGTGGGAATCAGAGGTGGGAGCAGTTAAAGAACAMTGTCATCAAGGTGCAAGGGAGATWAATACAGCMTAGTAYAAAATATTTCTACATTTTTCCCTTTTGCTGTCAGTTTAGTCCCCAAACCACAGGAAAGCAGGAATGGCACACTGAGCCAAGTCTGACCTGCAGTGTGAGCAGAGCAGAGCAGAACAGAGCAGAGCTGAGCTGGGCAGATTGTGCTGCTGACACTCAGATCCTCAGTGCTCTCCCTCCCGTGAGCACAACGAGCCCCTGCTCTCATTTCTCACACCCTGAACATGTGTGGGGTCTGCATTTCCTGTCCTGTTCTGCCACAAGTCTGGACAGCAATGCTTGGCCACTGAATTGCAAGATTTACTGAATTGCAAGATTCACTGAATTGCAAGATTTACTGAATTGCAAGATTTACTGAATTGCAGGACTCCCCATCCACATCACCAGGAATTATCGGTGGAACCTCGTTATTCTACTGCAGGGGAGAACGAGCTCCAAGAACACCATCAGAGGGTTTTTCTGGCATGCTCATTAGTCCAAGATGATTAATTTTCTCGGCATCACTGTAATTTACAGCAGGACAGCTTAGGCACTGTGACAGCCCTGGTCATTCTGTCCAGCCCTGGTCACTCTGTCCAGCACTGGTCACTCCACACGGACACCTCACCCCACCAGAGTGACCGAATATCCAACAGTAAGGACAGAAACCACAAAAAACAGATTTTCCTGGCAGCCCTATCAACCTCAGCCATGAGCTCCTGAGCCTTTTCTAAAAGGTTATGAGACAAATAATATATGTAAATTCATGCAGATTCTATGCAGGCAGAGCCACAGTTGGATTGAAAAAATAAACACGAGCATCATCAATAATGCCTTTGCAGAAAAAAACAAAGCAAGGCTGAGTTCACAGCCCAGGAAGARCATTCCTCCCGAGGATCTGCAATTCCTGATCGTTTCTGCCCCTGCAGATTGTGGGTACAGGAGCACACAAAAAAGGCTGCATTTAAAACCTGGCCTAAGTCTGCCTCCAAAATAAAGGAACTGATTAAAGCTGGTCCTCTCCCTCATCCAAGGCAATCACACCGATGGCCCTGGGCTGGAACAGCTCGGTGTGAAGGAATCAGACCTACAGACTGTTTAGAGCTTGTTAACTGCAAACCTACAAAAAAGAAAACAAACAARCAAAMAAAAARCCYAATAAAACACCTTTCCTTTTATATTTCCCCTCTGGAACAAAACAGAGTTAAAAATAAAATATACAAGAGGTCAGCTCACAAGAACACACAGCAGCATCTAGAAATGTTCGGCTGTTGTTGGTTTTTTTTGTCTAAATATTGGAGAAGAGCCACAGGACAATCCAATCCAATCCATTCCAGCTTGGGTGACACTGCCCAGCTCCTCACATGTAATAAAACCCAACCAATGTGTGATTTACAGGGAAGTGGCCTCCAAGTGTCCCCAGGTAACCTSCTGTCTCATCCCTGTAATTTTCCTATGAATAATGGATCGTTKACAAAGCTCTGCACTCAGGAGAGCYGTCGCCTCTGGCAACAGGAGATGGCCTGGTGAAAGTTCAGGCACATCTTGGATAAACACACACTGTTGACTGTGCTGGGGGCTCTGAGTGTAAGAACATCAATACAGATGTAAATGGATTTTTTTTTTAGTTTACCTTCTCCATTTCTTTTGAAACTGTTTTACTTTCAAAATTTTAAAGAGAAGTGCATCATTTCTGTTGAACAAATGAAACTGAGCCCAAACCATTTTCATTCAGGCGAAACACTCCATTCAGTTCCCATTTCCCTTTCACACAATGGCCAGAGCAGTGTGCGGAGTCTCTGTGCTTTCTTTCCCCATTAAGGGAGGGAAAGCAGGAGCAGGGCAGCTCTGTGCACAG